AAGCTGTCTTAAATGAGAAAGAGTGTTGCACACAAATTAGTAATTAAAACTACGCCTCGATAAACCACCCCTCAGCACATACCACGAAATTTTTGTTTCAAATTACACCCTCCAATTATTATGACATGTTTGAGTTGCTTATATTAGCTTACGAACACAGTGATGTATTACACTCTCCATGAATACGCCCGAATTAATGTCAAATCAACAACTGACAGAAGAAAATCATATAAGGAGTTTCGTCCACCATCATTATAAATCTGAAGGCAGAATGAGACGACTGATGTGAAATTAGTTATTAAAACAATCCCCCGATAAACCCTATACACACACCTCTGATTTTTTTTTCAAATCATATCCTCTCATTTTTGTGGTATGTTTGAATAGCTCGTGAGCTTAAAAATTATGTTGTTATATTGTTAGGACTGGGCCTGCACTTCTTGTTTCGAATGATCCCACTGAAAAAAATCTGAAGGGGATGAATCTGGGGATCGTGCTGGCCATCGTATAGAACATTCCCAATCCAGTTTTTCCCAAACTGTTTATTCAGATATGTAGTACATCAGTCGTCTGATTCCGTCTTTAGATTTATGGTAATTGTGGATGAAATTCATTATCGATATGCTATTGAGTCGTTGATTTGACATTATCTAGGGTGTATTCATGGAGAGTGTAAAACATCATTGTATTGTAAGCTAAGGGGTAGTTTATCGAGGGATGGTTCCAATGAGTGATTTCAGTGCAACACTCTTTTCTATTCAATCCAGTTTTTGTTAAAACGGTGATAATCTCACCCGTTTTCGAGAAGATACGTGTAAAAATAGAGTTGGGACACCCGTATAGCATGATTAATACGAATACGAAATTCCAAGTCCATCACCAATGAAGTGACGGCCATATCTTCAAATGTTAAAATATCGATCTTCAACACAATATTTCTAGGCAAACATGTTTGTGGAAACGTTTTTTTTCTTTCTAGAATTGGTCAAAAAACCATCTCACTGGGAACCCTGTATACCTATATAGTACTAAGAGTATATTAGATCCTTCAAGTGAAATCTAGCAATCGGTAGATATTTGAAAAATATTTAGAACGAATTATTATACAGGGTTTCTTTAAATGATTGTAGCACCGTAGTGACCCTTGAAATAATGTTTCGATTCACCAATTCTTGCTATGAACTAATGTACTGATAGTAGTGATTTCTTATAAGTAGAAGGTGGGAAATCGTAAATATATTACAAGGGCTACCACGATATCATTAGATTATATCATTTATAGAAAACTTGTTATAATATCCATTCATTTCATGAAAATGCTTCATTCAGCTTCAACAAGATAAACGTAAAAACTTCACAAACGATTAGATTTTCACAAAATTCTTGAATACACAACATGTTTCGCAAACACAGTAGCTACCTCAGGTGATATACTGGTACAATGAACTAAACCAACCTTGGCTTGCTTAACTTTTTATATATCCTACTTTCCCAACTTGAAGGATTAGTTACCTGTGGACAGGTTCGATAAACCTTCATTTCCGGAAAATAGGCACAATACATTAAAATACGGCGGTGTACCGAATTAACTTGAAAGGGTTCATATCATATACAAATTATTACCTACTTTGAAAAAAATTCAACAGTGGTGAACTATTGAGGTCTAATTGATCGTTATAAGTAAAGAAAAAGAAAACAAATTCAATAACGTCAACCATACATTGAAAGAAAACCATAGTTTTGATGATAATTAATTTCGGAATTCTACACGTAGAAAATAAAGGAATGAAACTCAATCATTTTGAATTATTAGAAATTAACAAACTAAAAAGTTTTGACATTTTACTTAACGATCAACTAGACCTCGATAGTTAACCACTGTTGAATTCGTTTTCTTAGTAGGTAATAATATGTATTTGTTATCCCTGCAACCCTTTCAAGTTAATCCGGTACACCGTATCTTAATGTAGATATTGTGCCTATTTTCCGAAAATGAAGGTTTATAGAACCTGTCCAAAGGTAACTAATCCGTCAAGTTGGGAAAGTAGAATATATAAAAGTTAAGCAAGCCAAGGTTGGTTTAGTTCATTGTACCAGTATATCACCTGATGAAGCTACTGTGTTAGCGAAACATGTTGTGTGTTCAAAATTTTGTGGAAACCTTACCGTTTGTGAAGTTTTTACATTTGCCATGGATTTCCATCAAGTAGTAATAGTTCGACTCGTCAAAGAATACCGGGGACAAAAGGAAGAAGATGAAGACATTCAGTACACTGTGCTTAGAGTACCTAAACAATTCGGTTTTGCAGATTACGTCGCTTTAATCAAGTCACGAACGATATGACCGACTGTACTTTTGAAGGGATACCACAATTTCTTCTGGGATTCCATTTTCAAATACATTGACAGTGAGTTGATGATCGCAACATTTATATTGTGCTCTGGGCTCACATTCTATCCGCCGGTCATGTTTTACTAGCCAGAATACTTATATATTATGTCAATTAACATGTTTGTTTGATTGTATTTGGAGATCTATTTCATGGATTTCCATTACTATCCACTAGTCTATCCAAGATTATAAGGTGACTTATAGTTCATGCAAAGTCAGTTGGAAAAACACATCACCGCAAGCCGTCGGTCTCTTCGAAAGTTCAAAGAGTGCGGCAGCGCGGCCCGACATTCGTTTGATGATCTGTTCAACTGACTTTGCATAAACTTTACTTCCCTCTCGAAAGCGAAACACATCTCACCACTCACCATTCTATTTATCATCCGATGATGCCAATTTTTTTCGAATTAGACAGCATAAGAAACTACTCTAGAACGAAGTGTCATATTATTTTCCACACAATAACCAAATCCAATAATATCAGTGATTTTTTCACGAGAACTCTGAACGAATGGCATGATCGGATTCCTTTATGTTTGTTTGTAATGAACGCCAAAACATTCACATCTAGAAGAAGTTTCGGTCACAATATCTGACATTGAGCGTAAGTTTATGCATTCGAGAAGGTGCTCAATTTAGATGTGTTTTTAGGTTTGGCTTGATTCGTAGAATTTTCGTCACGTTTCAAATTCACGCTGATTTCTATTCGGTCATAATTTGAAAAATAATTGGCAAGTTCGCAAATCGAAAATGTTAATGGGAATGTCCGCTTTCAAGTGATTTAAGCTGTAGAGAGAGCTCAATTAATAGTTGATGTACTGTTTAGTTTCTGACATGGGAACATAACATAATAAATAGAAAAGGTACTTCAAAATGACAAGTAAACAATGAAATGTTATCGTTTCACATTGAATCATTTTACTTATATCGATTTAAATTGAATTTGTTGCCTATATAAGAACTATTAATTACAAATTATCATTCAGTTATGTTATTGTATAAATAATAAATTTCTGTCTCTTTTTGCTGATTTTTGCTGATGCAAAGCATAAAATTGATGAAGGGACAAATTGATTCAAGTTAAGGTAACAAACCCTTATTTACGTTTAGGCTTATCTAGTTATCCAATTCTTCAGGTGATACACCTATTTGGTTTATGATTAATTTTTGAGTAATCCTAATGATGCATATGACCTTTCTGAATGGTGTTAGCACTCAATCAATGTTCAAACTTATGCCATAGGCAAAATTGTAGGGTGCATTCCGTTTTATTCAAAATCTTCTTGTCTCAACAAGTAATCTACAAAACCGAATTTACCATATGTTTCGTGGCATTTTTCAACATGTATTTGTTGAATAGTTTATTAATTTTGAAATTTGTTTTTTTCGTGGAACAGAAACTGAATTAACATTTTCATTGAAGTCAATGAATTGTGTTTTTTTCTATTCAAGTATCTATCGATTTTGTTTGACTTGAACTCTGGAACATTTCGGATGAAACCTTGTACACCGATAATAAGAAGCATAAGAACCGAAGAGAAACCAATAGATTGAAAGTGTTACCCAAAAACCGGGTTTGTGTATACATATAGTCGCTAAATGTCCAATATAAATTTGTTGAGCACCTAAGTTGTTAAAGCTAAACTTATAACTGTAAGTTCTAATATTGCACAACTCTAGCGAAGTGTCCATATGTCACTTATTGCTTGAATAGAAGACGCACAGCCGAATGCTGCGCACGCACCAGCACAGTGTGTGGCCAGATCAAAGGTGGTCTGTGCGAATCGCCAGGGCCGCTGTTGCCACAGTGAGCACCGGCATTTGACACAGTTGAGCTGACAACACTGAACACTAGTGCGTGGAGTGCCGTCATTGAAGACTGGAGTCTTTGTGAAAGGTGTCGGACTTGTGGAACGATGCCCTTCCGTCGTGATCGGCGCCCATGTCCTGTGTGATGCCCCAAAAAAATCAGTTGCGATAATTCGAATAATATTTACACTGTGATTGATTTGGTGATTCTAATACGAAAAGTTTACATCAACATACTTAAGTCCAGGAAATGCTCGGTATTAAGATACAGCAGGGTATCAAAGTTTTTAGTAATTACTACTTGCCCGAGCAGGAGCAAACAAGCTCTGGTTGGCCCAGAACCCTTTTGTGGTATTGCGAAAGCTATACAAAAGACTATAGTATCAAATCGTGGATGCAAACCAAATCTCAAGAATGGTGGAACAATTCGCCAGGTATGAGACAGGCAAAAGAGTTTATTAAAAAAACATAGCCAACATTCACAGAATATCTACTGAGCCAGAAACGAAGTTCAACTAGAATACTAGTGGGACTTCTCACAGGGAATTGTACGCTCAACAAATATGAGTACGATAGGTCTGCAGGTTCTGTCAGGAAAGAAGAGGAAACAGAAGTACACATACTTTGCCACTGTGAGGGCTTGTCAAGACTTAGGTTCCTTACGCTGGGTGAGGAAAAACCAGAAGCTCAAAGATTTTGAAGGCAGACACAATAGATCTGAAAAGGTCGGGGTGTGGAGGCAGATAGTCCGAAGGCCCCATTCTAAATCTAAATCTAATCTAATGTATACAGTGGTGGATCAACACACCTGCGACGCGAAGTTACTCTCGGACTTGGGCCTGGGTAGGGTGAGTCTCTGCAGGGCCCTGCCGAGTTCTTGCAGGCTGTGGTCGCTGGCATTCAGACGGGCCAAGGATTCCTCGGATCTATTTACATGGTCCGCCTCTGCAGCCAGAGCGTTCACTACGGCACTGATCGTTTTGCTCTCGCTGCCCAAGTCTTCTTCTCTGTGCGCTAGTAGGTTGGGATTCTTGCCTATTTTGTTTAGCCTGAGTATGGAGAAGGTGATGAATGGTTGGGGAAAGAGCTAGTGTCGAATGGTACAGGTAGATTCCGGAAGAAAATCTAGATTAAGTTTAAGTATTCCGGAACTAATGAAATTTACCAAGAGATTTCTGTTGACTATTCCACTCTTGGTCTCTAGAATCGAACAGAATTGGGCATTTTCACGGTTTTTTCTGTATCACAGCGATATTTTTTTGTTTACTAAATTTTATCGGACTTGCTCTGCCAATATAGAAGCCGAATTGACACCCACGTGTCATCAGCCTTTTTTCGAAAATGAAATTCAGGTCAACACTTCAAAACATGAATCTACTATAAACTTGACCGTTTTTTGCCAGAGAATGTATTAGGTCACATTGCGAAAGATCGACACCCGTCTTTCAGATCGAAGAATAGCTAACATTCTTCCAAAATCTTCCCAATTTTTCTCTCTGAATTATTCATTCACTATATGCATATAATTATTCTTGATTTTTGATTTTAGACTGCAACTGAATTGCGATTTGTATGTATTTTCCTCCATAATCTCATTGAGCTTGAATGAACATGATCATTCAAATTACACTAACTAAAGGGCGTATATCGTTATTTTTCGGAATTTACTCTAAGAATGAAATTTTCATTATCTATTCATCAGGATCAGATTCTATACAATACATTGTGAGTATTCACAAAGATTTGATGTAATTTGTTCAATCTTCTAGTGACATAAACATTCTGTCCTCAGAAATATTAAAAATCCACATACGCCACTTAGTATATTCAACGACGATATAACCCACTTATTAGATTAGACTTATTTGAATAATATTCATGAATATTATAAAATATGAGCTCATTCTTTGATATCAACAAAATATAGCGCGGTTAAAACTTATTTTCAAATTAAATAAACTAGGTACTTATATACTTTTTCATAATTCATATTGGCAAGTTCTAACCCAACTTCAAAAAAACCTTTATTGCATAACAGAATTATTGAAAAAAAAAATCGAGTAGGAACTACCTGACACCAGTTCGACATTAGATTATTGTTTAATAGCAAATAAAGTTGTAAAGCTTCACCAATGTGCCATAGAACATGTGAAGATGTATTGTGTGTTTCATCAAATCTGTTTGTACCATCGCCTTTTAGTGTGTGTCCCCCATGTTAAGATTGTACTTTTTCAGAGAGTTTGTGCACCTTGAAGTTTGAAAAAATTATGTGTGTAATTTATCGCTACATTAGTGTGTCTTTAAAAGTGTGTGATGTATGATTAGTTGTGTTTACCATACTATCTTATTCAGTCCTAATCTGAATATAGAGGTACTTAGGTACTGAATGATTTATTACCATACAATCTTACTGCTTCACTGACGAATAAACTTACCCTGGAAATTTTTTATTTTGGCGACGGCCTTTCATGAATGCTGAGTTCTATACCAATAGTGCTCAAAACTGGGCCATACTTATATAGGAACTGATTGCTTTACAAAACGTAACTGAAAATTTGTAGCATTCATAGTTGAAATAATTCTTGAATCATACAACTTACTGAACATTATAGGAACATCATCAATAGGTACTAAGTTCTAAGGATAGGCATATTCTAAGACTACAATATTTTTAAAACTACACAAGTGTCTCTGAGATATCTGGAGTAGATCTAAAAAAAATTAAAAATAAATCATTTCAAATGAGAATAATTAATTTACAGAACTATTATTGTTAGAAAACTATAACGATGTAGATTCTGTAAAGAACAAAAACGATGTAACTGAATCAATTTCCCATCAACATTTATTAAGATGTCTTTCATGCGGGCTGGGTTTTATTGATTCAGAAGGTGGTCTAATGACTCTAATACACTCATTATCTCACACTCATTATTAAAAACATCTTACAGAATCAACACCTTATCTGAAATTGTTAATATCAACTAGGACAGTGGCATTAGTCAAGAAAATATGGTAAACACAGCTGAGGAAGTGATCAAAAACTACACGGTGAGAATATGAAGAATTGATTAGGTTAGTAATTAGCCGACACCAACATAGAAAATGAGTGATAGGATTGTATCAAAAATTCAGTCGAATCATTAGACAGTGGTCTGAATGAATCGCGTAAATTTTTAGGGATGCAGTGAACAGAAATATCACAACAGTTTAAAAAAGATACACAGCAACATAGGATGATAGCGATTGAGCTCTTTTCAAAAGGAACTGGATACAGAATGTATTCTATTTTCAATTTTTTTCAAGTAATAACTTTAACATATTCTGAGGTAGGTATTACTTTGAATTGCGTTGAAAATTCTCGCTATGAACCTCATGTCTAATAACATACAAATTTCGATGGATGTTTGATCAAATCGCGATATTTTGTTAGTCGCATTTTTTTTTGATCTGTGTCTCATTAAATATTTGAGACCACCTATAAGAGTAATGAGTCCGTCATTAAACAATTCAGTGAATTTCTACAAGCATACATCAAATAATTTCAACTGTAATACAACAGCGCAGTATAAAAATTCAGGATATTCGGCCTGATCTCAATGAATACATTCTCATTTTCAATCGTGAAACTCGTGAAACTATTGCCTCTACTTGCCTATTGTATTTTTTAAAATTTATGCTTGGTGATTATGAATACTTGGAATGTTGTATACAAATGCATCATTTTAGATAGCCTATTCCAAATGGCCGATCGACTCCCGGCTCCTCGAATTTCAAAAAAAGAAGTTAATGAACTGAAGCAGAATGAATAGAAGTCAATGACGTATAATTAATCAGGACACAAAATAATTTGAGCCTGTGCGAAGTAACAGTATCATGAAAAAGATAACTGACTTTAGATGAAAAAACTTGCAGATAATAGGAAAGTACCTCTTTCTAATGGAACTAGCCATATTAAAAAAAAATGTTGAGTGAATTGAAACTGCATGGTGATAACAGTCTCATTCGGAATTCGAGAGTACTAGCACCCACAATTATTTGTCAATAGACAATAACTATACTATTGAGAAATAAACCATTTGGAATCATACCTTTTTATGAAATATCTCATTCTGAAGTTGCCATTATTACATTCAAGAAGCTCTACTCCAATGAAGTAGGCACATATAAAGTTTTTTGTGTTGAACAAGGGTTGAAAATCCAAAATGAATCCTAATTCCCAAATATAAGCTAAAATTGAGTGATATATTGCTGAAATATGGAAAATATTCTCGTAGATTCCTCAAAACAAGTGTTCATGATTTACAACAGAAACTGCCATCATTGAATTTTTATAAATTTTATCATTATTTTAATTATTTCACTCGGTTAAGATGAAAAAATGTGTTACCTATACCTACTTGGTAGTCTACTCAACTTTTATTGAAGAAATTTGAATATTCTGTTCACAGCACCTCAACTTGAAAGTCGAATGAGAACGATTATCGATAGGATGGGTGAAAGAGCACACAGCAACAAAGCGATATTAAACAAACATAATTCAATAAAACCTCTCCGGGCCTTGTATACCAACCAACGCACTGACCTCTCCGCGGCCACCGATTCCATGGTGCGCCGCATCAGGGGGTACTGGTCCAGAACGGCGTTAAAATGGTCCACCGACAGTGAGAACAGGTTGCAATACGTCTCCGACCTCACCGAGGCCACTCTGCGAGCGTTCGTCAGCAGGCAGATCTCCCCGAAGTACGAGCCGTCGCTGAGACTAGTAGCCACCTCCCCGTTCGACATCACTATATCGACGATTCCTTCTTGGATGAAGTACATCTTGGAACCGATGGTGCCTTCCTTTATTATAATATCACCTGGAACACAACCATGCTTCGATCAATGGGGATACTGAGATGATGAGTTCCTATGTTGGGCGCCAATTCGAGTAACTACATGATGCTATCACGATGGTCCCCAACCTATTGAAATAGCAATCACTACGTTGGGCGCCACTTTGACAAATCACGGATTGTTTTTCCTGTGCGGGGAGTTTGCTATGATCAAGAGCGTAGCCAGGAATTTGGTCGGAGGGAGCACGTTCGGACCACCTTATGTTTCATTGGATTAATTTCTAAGCGAATTATGAGCGATAACATTTTTCTATATAACTATAATGGTTCACCGACAACGAGAACATGTTGCAGTGAGTCTCCGATCTGTGAGCGTAACTCAGCAGGCAGATCCCGCCGAAGTACGAGCCGTCGCTGAGACTAGTAGCCACCTCCCCGTTCGACATCACAATGTCGACGATTGCTTCTTGGATGAAGTATATCTTGAAACAGGTGGTGCCTTCCTTCATTATAATATCACCTGGAACACAACCATGCTTCGATCTATGGGGATACTGAGATGATGAGGCCCCATGTTGGGCGCCAATTCGAGTAACTACATGATGCTATTACGATGGTGCCTAACGTATTGAAATCGCAATCACTACGTTGGGCGCCGCAGTTAGGAAAAAGGATAATGTTGCAATCAATTATTATTTGAAAATAATTATTGATATTTTTATTGACACAAAAGTGAAATTATATTTTTATTCTTTCAGGATTAGGAAGGGCAAATGAATACAACATTGAAATTCTATATTCTCATTCAAATGTCACAATATATTGTACAAGGTGAGCGAAGCTCAATGTCTCAGCACTATCAGAAGAAATAGAAAAACGATAGAAAAAATTTGAAAAGAGGTTCTTGAATGGTATCGAGTACCTTGGGTTTATTTTGAGCCTATTTTTCCATAAACATTTCACTATCAGAAGGTGAATGGAAGGTGAATGAAAGGTGAATAAAAAGTGAATAAAAGTAAAATATTAGGACGAATTTTTTCATTAAAGATGATTATCTGCGTCGCCCAGAATGTACAGGAGAAGCTTCAAAGGCAAGTCTGAAAATATGATGTAGCTCTTGAGTTTGAAAATTTGAACATGTCGTATTTACCTTCAAAAGGTTTTTTTAGTACCTCATCGAGATTGTCATTCTCTTTTTTACTTTTTGTTTCAGTGTTTTCACTTCCCTTTGAAACTTACATGGGAGCTGGAGGTTGTGTAAGCAAATCAATGTCCATATTAAAACATTTTCCTTAGAATCCAAGTTATTAACATCCACAGACACATACTGAAAATAAATCACTATAGTTTTTCTATAAGAATCTGAACAAGTTTCAACTTACCCATGGAGAACATGCAATTTCTGTTTGTCTTGCTTGTTTTGCATCCAAAGGCAACACAATATAACTAACCATTGTTTATTATTCCGAAATCACATATTTTTTCAACAATAATCAATTCACACCAACAAATTCAGTCCTTCAGAAGAAACAAAACACGCCAAATTAAGCGATATTTCACATAACAGAAAACAATGGAGTTCTATCTTCACTTTTTTGCATGTTTAGATGAAAAAAAGATCTCAAGTACTCCAATCATTGGATAAAAGATAATTTATACACCAATCTGCCATCAAACAACACGCGAGAGTGAAAGAAACAGGTTACCGTAACACAAGCTATCTTTGTTGCAGCTGCCCCTGACACACTCTGTGCTATTCAAGAAACCGGCAGTCTCCCCTCCAGGTGTTTATATTATGCTTGCTCGCGTTCAAAATATAAACAGTCCGAAACCATCAGGGCATGCGCAATTTGACAGAACAATACGAATCTCTCAAGTTCCGTGAAACTGCGCATGCTTCTGATGGTTTCGGACTGTTTACTTTTCGAACGTGAACAAACCTCTTGAGTTCATTGTGCTTGCCTGGCTATAGCCTCCCCACCATACTACTACTATACTACTCACCAGGTTGGAAGACTTCATATTTCAACTTGGTAACGACGTCCGAGACGAAGTTGGAATCGGCGTTCGCGAAAAACGGCACCGACGCCACCAGCGACCTGCAGTTGTAGTTGATGACGTCCTCGCGCAGCTTCTCTGACAGCTCCCCCAGGATGCACTCCTCGTCGAAGAACTTGCCCTGGTAGCGGTGCTCGAAGTACTCCGTGATCCGCTGGCGCATCTCGCGCGGGAGTTTGCGGTACGCCATGTACTCTTCCACTTGTTTCACCTACGAACAGGGGCGTATTTCAATATTCAGCGCCCCGGGCATGTAGGGTTTGCCGCCCCGATACTTAAAGAATGTGGACGTAGGAGGAGGGATGCATGTAGGGGAGAGTTGAGCAAACCTGATAAACGATTGACTATGAAATAGCATGGAATACGAGTTGAGACCAAGGTAGGTGAACTAACAGCGATTATTATCAATAAGATGTTTAATAAACACCAAAATAATATCCTTCAATAGAAGCTTATTACCAACACAAAATCCGAGAATACGTTTTTCATCCATTCCTTCTTTTGGCGAAGTCTCATATGACATCAAAAACATTTTTCATCGATATAGTGAGGATATTAATATCTCTTTTTACACAGTTGATAATATTTCAAAAAAATTCGTTAATTCTAAAGAAATAAAGTCCCTATGAATCACAAATCTGGAGTTTATTGTATTTGTTGCTCTGATCCAAATTGAAATGCTCAATATGTTGGACGAAGTGGTAGGAAAATTTGAACCAGAGATACGGAACATGTTACGATCACTGAAAAATCCAAGAATACACCCCTTTTGTTTGATGAACATGATACCAAAAGTTCTTTCGCAAACCACATCCTAAATCCACGCCATAGTTTTGATCCAAATCAGGACCTTAAAATTCTACATGTATGTCCAAAAGGTATTTCAGAATTTCATATTTTATTCCTTGACATTGACTTTGACTTATGGTCAACGTCTTGCCTACGTCATTATTTGACATTATTTTCGGTGTTTTCTAACTCAACTAGTTTAGATTTAAACACGTGCTGGCTGTTTGCCCCATCAATTTTATTTATATTTTCTTCAAGTAGCGCTTTCATAAGGGCACGGGGAACCCCTTGAAAAAAACTGTTGAATTATGGTGTTGTCAAAACAAATCTTTTGGCAATACCCTTCATATACCATTTTAGTATATGAAATTTCAATGAAAATAATAGTAGGCGCTCTCGTGCAGCGCACGGGGCTCTTCATTTATTGAGAACCCGTTTTGATTTCTTGACTGGGCATCGACAACAATTCACCAAACAGTGGCATCAAAAATTATTTCAACTTCAAGTATTTTTTGTTTTTGTATTGTAGAACTTTCAATTAGCTTGGCTTGGGGGAGCGGCTGTTGACAGGTTCATTTTTCGAAAGGAAGGACCGTGACCAGGTACAAATTTTTGGAAAGCAGCATCTCGAAATCATCCAAGGGAGTAAATAAACAAAGCAAACCAAATATGCCCTTGAGAATTATGCGAATGAATGTGAGAAGCATACCTAATAAATGCTCTACCACAAATTAACCACTCAGTTCGTTGGATTTTTCCGGAGTTTGCTTGACAGAAACTTGGACCAATGAGGATGAACTATCCATGACCAAATTGAATAACTATACTAAACGTTAGTTTTGAACTGTAAATTCAGGATGAGGTAGATATAGTAATTTTCATACTAGACAAAATATAGACTTGAAATTAGGATGATAAAAAATTGTATCAAAGCTGAAAAAACATTCGAATATTTCTCAGTGGATGTTCTTTCGGCAAAAATAAGAATTAATATAAGCCATTTTCACCGATCACCAGACGCTTCGCGACTCGTGATAATTCTACAAAAATTCATGTACTCAAAAAATTTCCGGAAATAATTCATTCCCTAAGAGGATTATAAGTGATACTTGATTATTCGTATTATTTACCAATCAATGTACTGTTCAATAACATTTTACATACATTTAAGCAATGCATTTTTGGTTGTGCGAAGTCTGCTAAGTCCGAAAGCGCAATATATTTATTTTCAAATATCCTTTATTCTGTTCCTCAAATTCTGCTAGACTTCAGAATATATGAAAACTCATTCTCCTAACTACAGAATGCATAAATCAGCTCGAATAATTTTCTGGAGGTTCAGCACAAACCCTACAACTTTTGTATTTGAATTTTTTTTCTATCTTCAATGATGAACCCCGTAGATGCTGTTTAAATATACGGAATGACCAGTACAATTAGAAATTGCCTACACCATCACTATGGTATCAAGAAGAATGATATCCCGTTGAGGTTCCATCAGACAATTTTATCCGAATAACAGAACATAATTTCCTCGGGGCAAATGTAGAACTATTGGGATTCAATAAGGAGATAAATAGAGCAGAATCGATATCTCATATAACCGAAATGGAAGTAAAATGGCATTTCATTCCCCCAGGTGCTTCACATATAGGTATGGGTGGTCGCTGGGATCGGTTGATCGGTTCTGTGAAAATGATACTGCAACTTATGCCGAAAGAAGAAGCGCCTAGAGATGCAAAATCCTACATACACTTTACTTGGAAGCAGAATATATTGTGATTGCCGACCTCTTCTATACGTTTCAGTCGATCCTGAAGACCCTAATAGTCTAACTCCTGATCATCTCCTCATCAGTTCTTATGCCAATGATCGAGCGACTTTTATCAACATGTTCTAGTACGAGCACGATAGAAGAAGGCCCAATGGTTTGGTCAAGATGGGTCAAAGAAAAAGGGAACGCTTCCAAAACCAGGAAATGTAATAGGAGACATTTCGGTCCAATTCACTAAGAGCGTGATATGAAAGTTAGTGGTTATTTGAACCACTTTCAGATTTTCTGATTGTCTAAAGACATGGAATTAACATTTTGTCATGTTTTTCCCACTTTTTATAGTAGCAGTAAAAAATGCGGCACTATTTCATGGAAATGTTGTTTATCTGGTCATGCTAGATATTGCAAAAGAGGTAATTCTACGACAAGACAGTTCTGAAACCCCACCTTATTATTTGTGAAAACTAAAAATTACCTATTTCACTAGATGGATAGCATCAAACGATAGAATTTTGAGGGATTCGATTAATCCATCCATAAATTTCTGAAAATCTATCACATGCCAAATGTATTGGTTTAAGAAGATTTGATACTATTAATAGAACCATTTATATAGAAGATAGAGAATTGCTTCAAGTGCTTGTAGAGTATATCAATTGTTAGGTTAATGCAATAATAGATGAATGACTAGCTGCACAACTTTATTCATACGACCGGGTGGAAATGTCAAAAAACTAACCACATTGATAAATGTTGTTTTTATAGAATGCCAAATATGAATGGTGGAAAATCTGGGCTACTTAAAAAAGTTATTGATAACAATAAGTATAACAACGTTACTAATTTAGCCACCCTATTTAATCGGACCGATTGTCGCACGATGTTCTTCGAACAAGTGCAAAAAAATACGAGATGGAAATATCTCCCAAAAAAACGTGGCCAATCGAAAAAATCGAAATAGTATCTATATTGTTTAACACGAACGGAATTATAGTCATTTCCCTCGGTAATGCTGCAAAGCATACGAGTGGGGAATAAGTATTTCGTGCGAGATATATAGTATACTTTCTCTACGGCTATAACAGATAACAGCGAAATATTGGATTTCTTCGGCTTATAGCCAACCTCAAGTCATGCTCATCTATTGGACAGATCTGTCATTGATTGAAATTCGACATTTCATGGGAGATGCACTTTTATGATATGATAACACAACGAAATCATTGTGATATCAGATACGGAATAGTATATTACACACTGAGGTGGGAAGTGATTCATTCCTGTCGTGAGAATGTTGTGGGTGAAAACTGAAAGTGATGGAAAACAACATCTTGTCGATTGACATATTAGTATTTTAGAATGAAATAAGTACTGAAATAAGTTCATGGATGATTTTGATATTGAGAAATACTGAAAGATTTTACACACTAATTGCCAGATAATTCTGGTAATTAGGCCCTGATTCCAATATAAATCTTGCTATTAGCTTTATTGACAGGAAAATCAGGCGCTCTACCTGATCTACCTCACCTTTTCGCGGTACTGCCGCCTTGACGAGTCCAGACTCTGGATGAGGTTGGTGGCGTGGCCCAGGAAGAGCGCGTAGCACGTCGCTCCGGAGATCATCGAGAGCATCGTGAGCCACATGTCGGTGAGCGACTGCGGGGGAAAGCGGCCGTACCCGATGCACAGCATGTGCGACATGGCCTTGAACAGGGCCCATGAGTACTGCTCCAGCCAGAAGGCTTCCTGCAATCGAATATTATGCGCACTGAATACATAAAAGATTACGTTATTGTATTTTACGGTGAGAAAGCATGTGCGACATAACAATAATTCGATTGGCCTTATGCTGGCCCATAATATGCAAGCTAGAATTGGCCAGGACGGCAAAATTCCTGTGAATATTCATGGTCCAGTACCAATAGATACATTCAATTAAAAAAAAAACGCGACCGCCACGGGATTCTAACCCCGGTCCTCCGGTTAAAAATCGATCTTTATTCTGACTGAGCTACCACACTTTCTAGAAATGAACGGAATCCATTTGCGGTTAATTTTCGAATAAGAAAATTTTATTAATCATCATCATCATAACAGAAATATACAAACGATGAGCAAGGAAACACATTCGATTCTCCGATTGACTACCGAATTTTTATCATACCTATTTTATGACTCAGACGACTTGCATATTTCTTCATGGCCGAATTCGATAACTTTTATGATAGTATCTGAATGCAATGAATGAACATATTATATGTGAAATAACAAAATATATCAGATTCTTCATCGCCGAGCCGAAACTGCTGAATCAATCGTGAAATTTGGCAACAGAGTTCACTTTCTGTAACGTAGGCCACCTATTAATATAGGATTTCATGATTGTACAAAATTTCCAATCAGGGTTGGAAGTCTTATATGGAGTGGCAGTTAAAAATTAGATTTTTCAATTGAAACTGAAATATAATCATACTCCACTCTATTTGGCACGGTTGACGATTGTTATGACGTAGATAAAACATAATACGAATTGACACTATTGGTACACTGTCGGCTAAATTATAGGCAAACGATTACAATATGCCATACAATGAGCCGACGTTTGACCGGTGCAGCATGACCATGGCCATCAATCTGCCGATCTATCATGTAATGGGCCAGAAGAGGGCTCACGAGTACTGCTTCAGCCAGAAGGCTTTTGCAATCGGGTAGTATCGTTACCGCCGCGCACTTATCACAAGATAGATTACAGGATATAAAAAAATTGTTAAATTTGTTATATATGTGTATGATTTGCGTATACCGCTACTTCGAAGTTGGAAGCCAATTCTCCAAAAGTCTAAACTTGTGCGGCATTAGGAAGAGTGGGATCTACAGCTCCTAGTGGAACCGAACCACTTCTAAGGCGCCGAGGTACCTACTGCTAGGATCACAATCAAGAATCACACATTTTTGAAAAAATGCACAGCCGAACCGGATTCGGACCTTGGCATCAGATTTTCGGGATCATTCACCATTTTCCCGTCCTTCCGGTCATTTTCCGGTGGAAATCAATGTACCCAAGAAAAAAAGTTTGGGATCTATCTGATGTCAAGGTTCCGGGGTTTTCAGTAAACAACTTCATACCTCTTTGAATTGATAAGCAAATTATGTACATTTACAAGTACCACTTTTTTCCCGAAATCAAGATCACCATAGTTACTAAGGTCGTTGATATGGTAAAAATCAGCCTCATCGATGACGTTTCAGAAATAAAGTACCTACCGTGTATAGCGGCATTTAATTTTTTTTTCGTTATTTTTAACGTTCAACCTATCCTGAAGTGCATAAAATAGAATATATACCTCAGGACTAAAGTGTTTTTGAATTCCTCGACAATTTATATAAACATTTTGTCTCGGGATTCAAAATACCACTTTAGTCCCTTGGTGTATAATGTACTATTGTTTCTTCATGTCTTCTCCCAAATGGAATTCAATTTTTTTGTGACCTCACCTGTAATTCGTTGATAGCCACCCAAGAATTCGCCGGGAACCCTTGCAGCATCGGAACCAGAAATTGTAGGCATCCAGACCAGTGGCCGATGAGAAGCATCATACAAATGAGATTGAATATCCTCATGAAAACGCTTGCCATATTGAGAAACTGCAACAGCACAAAATCAGAGATAATCAGTGAATCGAGTCAGGTGAAAATTTGGATAGTCATCGATTCAGAACTGGTGGAACTAGGGAAACACATAACAGACACCATTATGAGTGTAGTGTACCATCATTTGGCGTTTATAGAATACCCCTTTGTAGAAGAGGTTGTCGTCTCCAAGACTTTTGTGACGTATATGGTATACAACGTGGTCTTGGGCATATCAAAATCATTGACCTTCATTATATATAGGGTGGCCACTTTTTTGAAGGCATTGTATATTGACAACTTTCAAACAATATACTACACCTTTTTCAATTGTAATTCAGAAAGTATAACTTGAAATTCAGATTAGTAAATTGTAATTCAGAAAGCGTAATATGTAATTCAGATTAGTCAAATGTAATTCAGAAAGTGTAACTTGTAATTCAGAATAGTGGGATGTAATTCAGAAACCGTCAATTGAAATTCAGAAAACATAACTTGTAATTCAGAGTATGATTCCATAGTATTTATGAATTACAAGTGATGCTTTCTGAATTCCAATGGACCATTCTGAATTACAAGTAACACTTTCTGAATTACATTTCACTGATCTGAATTACATGTTATGTATTCTGAATTACAATTGACTAATATGAATCGAAATGGACGCTTTCTGAATCACAATTAACTATTCTGAATTACAAGTTACACTTTCTGAATTGCAATTGAAAAAGGTGTAGTGGCGGAAATTATTCGAAAATATCAGCGCCGGTTCTTGAGATATGACGAAACAAAATTCGATCATTTCGTACTTTTTGGTTATCATTTATTTTCACAACTAGGGCCCTGATATTTTCTAGTTTTCACCGCTAGATGATGCTAACTGATACGCAACTGTTTCTCCATTTAACCGCCGACCTTCTAACAACTATGGTTTGGAAGTTACCAACACAATCCCATTAAAAAAGTGGCCACCCTGTATACGAGTAAGAGGTTGTCGGCCTTCTACGATGAAAAAAGTAACAGTTGAGGAAATTGTGGAATTGACTGAATTTCTAATTCACTTCGAATGATTCTCTATTCTTTGAGGAATTCAGAATAGAAGAGAATAATATATATAATGTTAGAAAATTTGGTTCTTCTGGTATATGGTATATTGGGCGTGAAGAATGAAAGAGATAATATATTGATCAGATTCTTGATTGCATATGCTGAAATTCATTGCCTCATGACTTATTGTGGATGTGTATTACTTATCGGCAATACTTCAAAAATTTGTCTACCTTATTTTTGAATTCTGTCTACTCTGAAATATATTTCTACTATTGAACATTAAATGATATTTCCAGAGTGATTTCGCTAGTTCTACCAAGTTCTTGACTTGATGTATATCGTTCAATCATATAGATATAATGGTGTAAATAATATTTATCATAGTCTACGAAAGAAAAAATATATAACTGCAACTGCCGCTGAAAATACAAAATAACTGAAAATAATTTAAGAACGATCAGTCTTAGATATTTTTGTTAGACATGCAAATTTCTTGATTCATATGGTATAATAGAGATTATGCATTATCTAAAACTGTTCGGACTATACTTACTATATAAAAAGGTACCTACCTACATACCTTCAAAAATCATAAATAATCGTATACTAATGTGTTTTTTGTACACTACAGTGGACCAAATAATACCTAAATAGTGTGATAATTGCAAAATAAACCAGGAGTACTTCAAATTCCAAAAAGCAACCTCTCCATTGTCAGGGCACGGAGCTTCGAAGCCAAACCCAAAGCATTATATCGTCTAGTTTTCAAAAAGCAGCATCAAGCTCTTTTGTTTTGTGTGATCAGTAATGTGTAAGTGATATATATGAAAAAATATTTAGAACCAAACATTTCACCAATACGTTCCTATATATTTTTTGTCTAAAATGCGTACATAATATTTGTAGATAGGAAACTGATGTATAATTTGTTCCAAATAATTTTTCAAATTTCAAGTATTCTACACCTCATTGTTCGGTGACAAATGGCAGATCTCTAACTGACCAATTCATCTGGGGAAGTAATATTCGAGAGTATATACAGTCTTCACTTTGCTGACTCCAGCCTAGCCTAATCACTTACCTTTCAATGGAATTCTGTATAAGATTGAAACATGCTCTAGGAGAAATCAGCAGAATTATGTGCTAACAGTTTCAACACTGAAAATATTTACAACACTATTTTACATTCACCACAATCATGACGAAAAAGATGTTTTCATCAAGAAATACCTCCAACTTTTGATAGTTTATTTAGGGATTTATTATTCTAGATAATTAATACGATCACGATCCCAAATAGACTGAAAAATTGGACCTCTCTCTACGAATAACAAAAGGATAATATCAACAAAACTGTATAACCTTTGAGGGTTAACTCGATAACTAGGGTAGAACACTGATTTTTTGTATTCATTTCATTTCGAAGCAAGAAGCAATGTGACCTTAAGCAACAGAATCGAATATAGTGTAGAAAGTGTGAAGTGTCACATGCACAATAAGCTCTTGGCACTTGTATAGAGTTTTTCCAATACACCGCACAAGGTTTGCCGCAATTATTTTTACGCTCACCAGGTAGATAATTTTATTAGATGATAGATACGATTAACGTCAGAATGATGGAATTTTAATTATTTCAACATTTAAAATTAATATTCGAATTTCTATACAAAGTTTTCGCCATTTCGACTGACAAATGTCTCGTGAGCCACCCTGTATCTCACAACTGACATATCGAATCAGTTTTTTATGGCATCACTGTTGGAAGTAGGCTTCTCAATGTGCCATTTAAGAATCAGAACAGCCATTGAATTCCAGTCATTTCTCAACAATGTTGGACGATATCTTTCTCATTTGTGTAATTTGCGTTTCAAAAATGCGGATAACGAAAACTCGAATCTTTATTATTCCTGACATTCACCGAGACTGTTACATTGACAATATCGACGCGTCCATGCCAATACGGCACAAACACCAAAATGATCACTTTTCCTTTTCACTTTTTGGTACTGGAAAATAGGTAATCACATTCTGCATCCAATGGTCGGAACGACATATTCGTAAAAGTATTTGTCTAGCCAAAATTTGAATTTTAAATTTGCGCAAGCGCCAATTCGACCATATTCAATGAAATTCAAACGGCAGTAATATTTGCTTCATATGAAAGTTGGTCACATCACTTTGACGTTCAAATGACATTTCAATCATCTGAAATAGTAGTTTTTGGGGAAAAAATATGAGGCGTTTATGCCAAAACACTATCATGAAAAGTTGTTTGGCATAAACGCCATGGCTTACGGGAAATCACATGCATGATCCTTACATCGAAAAAAAAAAACTTAGATTAAATTTTTCAAAGTTTTTTCATGTTATTCTGTGAACCTATCATGGATTGTGATACAAGTCAGTAAGGTGATGATACCGAATTTCAAATAGAACTGCTTCAAAACGGCAGTTGATTTTTGGCGCTTTCGCCATTTCTTTACTTTGCAGATGAACATATCTAGAAGCAAACAAATTCTGTTGATGGCGTTGAATGAATGGTTTTAAACTGCAATGATGTCTCAATTGACGCTTCAAAAGGTGATAACGTTTCGAATGACAATGTTATATCAGGAGATTTGCGTTTTTTTTCATTGCATCACCTGGATCCAGCACCCCATAAGTCGAAACTGAAACGCGGTTAGGGAAGCATACATTTACAAACATCCATGGCCTAGCTGGGACACGAACCCATGCCCCGGTGTCTTGTGTCTTCAAATATAATTATCTTCTTGAGATCTCTCCATTCTTATATTAGGTACCCTTTAAGTTTCAAGTAATGAAATTTCCAATGATAATAGCATTTTCAACATGGAAATCTCTCGTAATGATTGAATATTTTGTACCACCATGGTATCATAAACGACACACACGAGAAATTACTCATCAATTTCAACTTGGCATATTACTCACTTCTCTGAAACACCGTGAAGAATTTGGCGATCTGGCTCTATTTTAAAGATATTTTCATGGACGATGCTCTTCTGAAATATCAACAATTGTTCCTCCCTTGGCAGTCCCCGCGAGATTAACCCGTCACAGACTTGCAGAACATTTCTTTCCAAAGACTCGCTCATCCAACGAACAGCGAGGCTCTGGAACACATTGCCAAGGGAGGTGTTCCCGAGGCATATAACCTCCAGAAATTTAAGAGGAACACCAATTCCTACCTTATTTTCCTTGGTTTTTACGATGTTCTCTGAACATTACAGGATATTCCTTTTCGTGGGAACCAGAACATAAGAAAAATCAACTGTATAAGCGCCAATTTGACGAAATCCTTGAATGTTCAAAGACACAAACGTCAGTGTCACTTTTGGTATGAACACATTCTACTTGTGTGGAGTGGCACAAGCGCCATTTTTTCAATTTTCAATTTATTGTATGAAGGGGAGAATCAGAGTCTTCATCAGACATTCAACAAAAATAATGAAAAAAAATCGTTCATTTAAGACATCAAGCAGATTTTTGTGGCAATTATGAAAGAAGTTAATTAGTTTTTTGTCTCTCCTGTAGAGTTGATTTGATGGCATTTGTGCCGTTTTGGCATGGACGCGTCAATATTGCCTAAAGAAAACAACTTTTTCTCCAAGCGGCAGGAGAATTGGCTTTTCTATAACACTTGACACTTTTTCTGCCTAGACAGGAAAAGTTTGTTGATATGCAACGTTCCAAGTAATTTGTATGGAATCGGTAATCAAAATTGACACAGACATTGGGTGAACACAAAATGATGGAGTTTTCAATAAAAAAATTAATCAAAATTGGTTTCATTAACATTTGGAGAAAAAAATATATGTTTAACACGGCAGCAAATGTAGATTGACTGCCTTGGCTGAATTCCTAGCCACGCTACGCTCGGCTAAGAACTATCAACTGCGGCAGTCAATCTATTACTTTCCTACCTACTAAAACAAATACCTGTA